CAGCCAGTGCCCTGCTGCTACAAGAGTTATTAAAATGCACTTGAAAGATTCAAAGAAGAGGGCCAAATCCCCGCTACAGAGGAAAGCAAAACCCCTGCAGTCCATACCAATCCTACCATGGGGTAAAATGTGGCAATTGGTCTGACCCTGAGCAAAGATGCAAAATCCCCTATCCAGGAACCTCCAGGTTTAAGTCCTAGCAGAAACACTGGCCCAGCCCAGTCAAAATCCTCAGCCTTGATTACAGCCAACACCCAATGCCTCTGAGGAAGGTAGAAAAAAACAAAAACTTGACCCATGTAGCAAAAAGAAGGGGGTGAAATTTTTTCCAGGGCTCTATGGCACCTAGCACAGCCCAGAAGCACGGGAAATACTACACACCCTCCATCCACCTCTGCAACCTCAGTAATCCCATGCTTGGTGTGAGTGTGTCGCTGGACCCCCAGCAGCGCACAGAGCCTCCGAATGAGAACTCCCAGCCTTGGGGTGGAGCAGCTCAGGCCTTCTAGCTGGGGTGTACCCCTCCGGCCCATGGCACCAGCAGATATTCCCCTCTGTGACTGAGGACGTGAAGAGTCGCAGCTACCCTAAAGCCCAACACAAGCTCCAGCGAAGGACAGATAAACCTGCAGCTCCGGTACCCACACTCTCTCTTAACAAAGCAAACCATAGCCAACCTGCAAGGGTTGCCAGCCGAGTAGGCTGCTTTCCGATGACACACGAGAATGAGATGCTGCACTGTGTTACACCCTAAGCTGCCATGCCTGGCTTCCCCATGCCAGGTCCCCTATGCTCTCCTCCTCTCCGTGTTATCTACAGATATGGGTGACTAACAACTGTGGCAGTATCCCCTGACTGGAGCAAGCTGATGTGGTCCTGTTCAGTGACGTAACAAAGTTTAACGGCACCTTCTGGCATCGAATGACCTGGTTGTTGCATATCTGTTTGAGGCCTTCCTGTGGGTTCTTCTATAAAAATAAAGTAATTTTTCCTTTATTTAACCCCAAGAGTATCTGCCCTGCTTACATATCAGATTGCCATTGTTTCTATTCATGTATTTTGGACCAAGCTGCACCTTTGATTCTCTGCTCACGGGGTAGGTGGGACGCAGCCATCAAGCACTCGCTAACAACCAGCAAGGAGAGGGTTACCAACGCAACCCAAGTGCCAGCATGCATGATCTGGCATGGGAGCTACAGAAGTGGAGTCGAATAGCCTGGGCTTCTCCTCTCCCAGCTTGCTGAGAGCCAAGTTGGACGCTGGTACTTGTCCTTGCTTTGCTCTTGCTCTGGATTTTCTGTGTCATTAAAGCCTCTGGCTTTGGGGCAAGTGAACAGAACGAATTTAGGGCTGTATTTGCTTTCCCTGGTTGGTGCATCTGCCCAGTAACCTGTAAGGCTGGTTACGAGGCAAAAACCACATGCATTTACCCTGGACAGATGATCTCAGACTTGGGCGAGAGGCAGTAAACAGAGACCTAGTCAGCACCATCTTAGTCACCCTTTAAAAGCACATGCGTAGTCAGACTTCACCTCCTCTCTGCAGATGCACACACCACCTGTATGCTTCCCACTGCTAACACCAGCCAGGCTCTGTTCCTCAATGGACAGCTGCCCCCTTTAGTTTAACTGAACACCAGGATTCAGATATCAAAGGGCTTGTACATCCCACAGTGGTGGCAGGTCCCAATGAGGATGCAGCCAAGCCTCATGCCTCAGCTATGTCCCAAACCCAGAAATACAGCAGTGAGACCACTCCATCGTTCTCCCTCTAGTCCTACCCTCCAGCCCGCAGCTGCTGGCAGGC